ATTTAATTGAACTTTACACTAAATTTAACTAACGTTTAAATGCAAATATATCTATCTATCTTTTATTTTTAAATTAATTTTGAATAACTTTTTTTTCCTATTTATTAAAAATAAATTTTAATATATTATTAATTTTATAATTTAAATTATTATTTATTTAGTTTTAATTATATTATTAAAATTAAAAGTAAAATCAAAGTATTTAATTTATTTTTTAATAAATAGTTAAATGAAATCTGATTATGAAATTGAAACTGGCGCAGCTTTATTGAATTTACCTAATCTCTAAATTTTAGTTTTGAGCTTCGTTTATAAGTAAATTTCTAGATGGTTTATTTTGATTTATTCACTTATTAATAATAAATATAAAATAATAAAAATTCTTATCTTCATGTTTAATCTTAATTAATCTTCTATCACTTATTTTGCAAATATTTTTATATATTTTTAAACTTAATTTTTCATTTTAGCTCAATTAATTAATATCTTTATTAAAATTATAATTAAGGTCAGAATATGTCAAGGAAAGCATTTTCGATTACTAAACCTAATAAAATTAAATTCCTTTACAAAATTAGCATAATCTCTTAGATTTGAGTCTTTATTTTTCGTAAATATTCTTTGAATTTTTATTATTTAGTTTTTTTTCTTTCTATTTGTAACTAACTGAACATCATTCATAATTTTTGTAAAATTAAGGTATATAAATAAACAAAATGAAGAGAGATTTAAGTTTTTGATTTCATCTTTAGCTTAAAAGACAAAATTATAAAATTTGGAACTTATATCATAGTAAAAAAATATTATTTATTTATTATTATAGCTTAAGTTTTATATTAAAAAATTAAATAATAAAAATATTTTTTTGTTAGATTTTTATTTGCTATTTTTTATTTTAGCTTCGATAACAAATTTATGTTAAATTTTTTCTGATTAAATTCAATATTAATTGAAATAAATTATTAATTTATATCTAGAAGCTTTAATACTTATGAAAATTTATCAGAAGATATAAGTCATGTTTTAACAAACTGTATGGATATATCAACTTTAGCTTTGAGATTAAAGTAAATTTATTAATATTATTTCAATATTAATTTTTGATTTTCATATTCATTTAATAATTAACTTGTAACTTTTATTGCATTAATTATTGATTCATCCTAGTTAATTTAAATAACTCATATCATTATATTAATTTAACAAAAGTGATTGTAAATTTATAGATAAGGACGCTCAAGTTTTAGGTTCTGCTCTAGAAAAAAATACAAATATTTAAAAGCTTAATCTTTTCCTCTAGTAAAAAAAGAAAAATAGTTTGTTTGATAAAAATATTTTAATTTAATTTTAAAATCTTTAATAAAGAATTCTTTTTAGCCTTAATTAGTAAATTAAATATACAAAAAACATATAAGAGAGAGCATTCATATAATTTTTAAAAATACTTTAATGATTTAGAATTTATCAATTTGCTAAATAATTGTTAAAATTGAATAATTTGCATAAAAAATTTATAATAATTTGTTTGTTTTTATTAATGAAGCAAATTAATTTAATTTTTAAATTAATTAGAAAAATGCTTTTTATCTTTTTGATATTTCTTGCTAAATATTTTAAAAATACTTTAAATAAATCTTTTAAATATGTTTTTATCATATATTAAAAGCTATAACAGGCTAGGTGATTAGGGTACATTATAATTATGTAATTCCATTACAAATATCATAAATCTCTAAAATTTAGCACTTGATCTAAGGTAAATAAAAAGTTTATTTATTTTAAATATCTTAAAAACTCATAGGTTGAGCAATATATTTTTTTTTTATCATTAAATTTTCAAAAAAATTTCATACAATGTTTTTTAATTAACTAATAAATAAAAAGCTCTAACTAAATTAGTGACTAAGGTACATAAAACTTAGGTATCGCATTAGCTAACTGCATAAATCTCAAAGATTTACAACTTTTTCTAAAGTAATCATAAATTTAGTTTTTTAAATAAAAAATATTTTATTTAATTTAGATTTATCTAAATTTCCATTTAATTTATTTTTATTTGAGTAATTTCTTCTTATCTTTTGATCATATTTTAATAATAAAAGTAATAATAAAATTGGAAATTAAGTTGCAAATTACTTATTTTCTCCATTAGCTAAATGCACTAATATCTCTAACTTGTCAGTATATCTTTAGTAATACAATAAATTTATGTTAATTATAGATAATATTAATGTTCATTTTTATTCAATTTCTACAGTGGCAATGAAATTGGGGATTAAGGAATATCACTTTTAAGCTTTAACAAGTGCTTATTAGCTTTATCTCTTGACTTTGGGTAAAAATTATATAAATAGTTTGTTTATTATAAAGAATTCTATTTATATTTAAATCAAACATGTTTATTTAATTTTTTGTTTTGGCAATCTTTAAAATATTTTGAATTTATTTATTTTTTTTGTTGATATTTATTTAATAATTAAAATTTTTTTCCATATCTTTGTTTTTTATTTATTTGGCTTTTAAATAATTTTTTATTTTAATTTTAACTATAATAAATAAGTTATAATAAAATCTCAAAGAGTGTTCTAGATTTAGGTCATTAACTATCAAATTGCATAAACCTATAAAGTTTAAATCTGAAATTAAAGTAAACAAATGATTTTTTTTTCAAATTTAAACTATTAATTATTTATTTAGTTCAATAAAATTTATTATGGATTTCAAATAATAAATAAATAAAAGAAATAACTTATTTCATTTAAAAATAATTATGAAAATAGTAATTGATTCTATCACAAAATAGTTAATTTATATTAAATTCACTAATTATTTGAAATAATTATTAATAAACGAAGGAATTTTAATTTATCTTTACTTCAAACTATTCAGATATTTATAATATAATTTATAAAATAAATATTTTATAATTAATTTAATTTTTTATTAATTAATATATTTAAATAATTTGCATTAATTATCAAAAGTTGGATTTAAATTGATGATTAGACTGCAATTAATTTATGCTCTTAATTAGCAAAATGCACGAATCTTTCAAGCATATCATTTAATATTAAGTAATATAATTAAATTAATTTCAAATAATCTTTATTGCTAAATATCTTAAATTAAATCTTCTACATTTACTAAATAATTTAGCTCATAATTTGATTATTTATTTTAATAATTAATGAAAAAAATTCTTATTTAATTATTCACATATTTTTCAAAAATTTAAAACAGAAAAGTAGATAATTATAAGTTTTAAGTAGCTTCAAATTTGAAAATGAGAAACAAAATTCTTAAAACTAAAAAATTAGTGTAAAATATTTTGGATATTTACTGATTGATTGGATTGATATATAATAAATACTTTTGGAGAGAGATTGATAGGATAAATATTTCTAATAATGCTAATTCATAAATATCTGAATTGATATTTCAAAGAATAAACATAAATTACATCATCCAAAAAGTCAGAAATCTTTAAATTTAATAATAAATTGTTAGAAAATTTTGCTAGCTTATATATATTTTGTGAATTTTTGAATCTTTTTGTTTTTGCATGGCATATTTATTTTATTTAGTTAGGTATTATATTCCATTTATTATTAAAATTTTTCAGTTTATCTCCTTTATTAAAGCAAAAATTAATTATGTTTTCATATAAGGTTTATAGATGGATCTTTATTTTTTAAGCCAATTAATCTAAAAATTAATTAGTATATATATATAAAACTTTAAAAATAGAATCTGGTTAATCAAGGAAAATATCTGATTTCATTAAATATATTATTTTTTGAAAGTCTTTTTTAAAATCATAACAAAATATATTATTTATCAATCACTTCAAGGTTTTGTATTCTTTTAGATGAGGATAAGTAAGAATTTATTTTATTCCTTGATTTTCTACAATAAAGTAGATTAATTAATGAAATAAATAAATTATTTTATTTTAATTTCAAATATTAAATTTTAACAGTGTGATAGGTGGGATAAATATATTTTATTTTTTAAATATTTTTTTTATATTTATTGGTATTAAAGAAATAATAAATAGAAATTTAGGGATTGCAATTTTTAACCCCTCAAATCCCTTAATATGATAGATGATAATATTTAAGATTAAAAGCTTTGATTGTTTTTGGTCTAAATTGAGGGTTGGTTTTCATTACAGAAATTCATTTATTTATGTAAATTTAATTTCTAAATTTTCATTTAGTTAATAAGCTATTTATTAACAAACAAAAATAAATATAATATTCATAAATATAAAAATAATAATAAATTAATATATCTATGTATATTTTAGGTTAAATTATCTTTGTAAAAAATATAATACAATAAAAAATATTATTTTGTATTATTCAAATATTTTAAATGTATTCTTTCTTTTTTCACCACTTACTTACCATCATAAGAAGTTTATTGTAAAGAAAACTAATCTTTTTGATTTAAGACACTTGCTTTTTACTTTCAATTATTACTATTTATTGATTTAGTTTCCACTTTTATATTAAATTAAAAAAAAATAAAATACAAAAAAAAATTGAATAAAATAAAATTATTTAATTAAAAATTATTTTTAAAATTAATAAAAAAAAACATAATAAAAAATAAATAAATCAAACAAAAAGCTAATAAACAATTAAAAAATTATATTGTTTTAAATTGAATTTTATAAGTAAAAATATCGCTATCTAAAATAAATAAGCTAAATTTACCCAAGATCAAGTGTCAAATTTGAGAGTTTAGGGCAATTTGCTAAAGCAGAACCTAAGCTTGATGCACCTTAATGATCAATTATATTGTATCTTTTAAATATTATTAACAAATTATGTAATTAATTAGTAATGATTTTAGAAGGAAAAATGAAGAAAAAACATGAAATAATAAGAAGTAAATTAATAAATAATAATATAAATAATAGATATTGAAAATAAAAAATGATTTAAATTAAGAAAGATAGAAGAAAAATAAACACAAGCAAAAGAATTTTATTGCTTTAATTTGAATTTTATAAGTAAAAATATCTCAATCCAAAACAAATAAACTAAATTTACCCAAGATTAAGCTTCAAATTTGAGAGATTAGTGTAATTTGCTAAAGAAGAACCTAAGCTTTATGCACCTTCTTGACCAATTTTATTGTATCTTTTAAATATAAAAGAAAAAATTATTATAATTAATTAGTTATAATTTAGAAAGAAAAAATGAAGAAAAAACATGAAATAATAAGAAATAAATTTATAAATAATAAAAAAATGAGTTAAATTAAGATAAATAGAAAAAAAATAAACACTAGTTCAATAAAAAAGAAAAATATAAATAAATCAAATAAAAATCTAAAAAATAAATTATAAGAGTTTTATTGTTTTAAACTCAATTTTATAAGTAAACATATAACAATCAAAAACATATAAATTCAATTTACCCAAGATGAAGGGTTAAATTTGAGAGACTAGCACAATTTGCTAAACCAGAACCTAAACCTGATGCACTGATTGCACCTATTTAATTGCCACTTTTTAAATTTTGAAGAAAAAAATATTTAATTAATTGATTATTTAGAAGGAAAAAATGAAGAAAAAACATAAAATAATAAGAAATGAATTAACAATAAAAAAGAAAAAGAAAAGTAAATCAAATAAAAAACTATTAAACAAATTATTAGAGTTTTAAATTGAATTTTATAAGTAAAAATATTGCAATCCAAAACAAATAAACTTAATTTACCCAAGATCAAGCCACAAATTTGAGAGATTAGTACAATTTGCTAAAGCAGAACCTAAGCCTGATGCACCTTAGTCACCAATTTAATTGGATCTTTTTAAATATTGATGAAAAAATATATCATTAATTAGTGATGATTTTAGAAGGAAAAAATGAAGAAATAATATGAAATAATAAGAAATGAATTAATAAATAAATAATAAAATGCATTGTTGAAAATTAAAAAATGAGTTAAATTTAGAAAGATAGAAGAAAAATAAACACAAGTACAATAAAAAAGAAAAAGAAAAGTAAATCAAATAAAAAACTATTAAATAAATTATTAGAGTTTTATTGTTTTATATTCAATTAAAAAAAAAATTAATTAAAAATTTCCTCCGAAAAGTAAATCGGAGAAATCCTAAAATATATGGCACAAGCCCCTAAGAAGGGGAGCTAGCTAGCTAGCGTGCTATATATATATTCAATTTTATAAGTAAATATATCACAATCCAAAACAAATAAACTAAATTTACCCAAGATCAAGTGTCAAATTTGAGAGAATAGAGCAATTTGATAAAGCAGAACCTAAGCCTGATGCGCCTTCTTATCCGATTTGATTGTATCTTTTTAAATATTAAAGAACAAATATATAATTAATTATTATGATTTTAAAAGAAAAAATGAAGAAAAAACATTAAATAATAAGAAATTAATTAATAAATAATAAAAAAAATGTTGAAATAAAAATGATTTAAATTTAGAAAGATAAAAGAAAATAAACACAAGTACAATAAAAAAGAAAAAGAAAAGTAAATCAAATAAAAAGCTAATAAAAAAATTAAAAGAATTTTATTGTTTCAAATTCAATTTTATAGGCAAACCTATCCCAATTAAAAACAAATGAACTGAATTTACCCAAGATCAAGTGTCAAATTTGAGAGATTAGTGCAATTTTCTAAGCCAGAACTTAAGCCTGATGTACCTTAATCATTAATTTGATTCCATCTTTTTTCAATATTCAATAAAAAATGTTTTATTAATTAATTATGATTTTAGAAGGAAAAATGAAGAAAAAATATGAAATAATAAGAAATAAATTAATAAATAGTGAAAGCAAATATTGAAAATAAAAAAATGAGTTAATTTAGAAAGATATAAGTAAAATAAACATAAATAAAATAAAAAAGATAAAGTAAAGTAAATCAAATAAAAAACGTAATAAACAAATTAAAAGAGTTTTATTGGTTTAAATTCAATTTTATAAGTAAAAATATCACAATATAAAATAAATGAACTGAATTTACCTAAGATTAAGTGTCAAATTTGAGAGATTAGTGCAATTTGCTAAAGCAGAACCTAAGCTTTATACACTGATAGCACCAATTTAATTGCCACTTTTTAATATTAAAGAAAAAATATATAATTAATTAGTTATGATTTTAGAAGGAAAAAATGAAGAAAAAATATGAAATAATAAGAAATAAATTAATAAATAATAAAAAAAATATTGAAAATAAAAGAATTAATTAAATTAGGTAGATAGATAGAAGAAAAATAAACACAGGTAGAATAAAAAAGAAAAAGAAAAGTAAATCAAATAAAAAACAATAACAACTTAATAGAGTTTCATCATTTTAAATTAAATTTTATAAGTAAAAATATCACAATCCAAAACTAATAAACAGTTTTTATCAAGTAAAAGTTTTACATGAAAAAATGAAAAAAAATTATCAAATAATAAAAAATGGATAATGAATTTAAAAATTTTTAAATGGAAATTAAGTTAAATAAACTAAAAACATTTGTAAAAAAAAAGTAATAAATTAGGGATAATTTCTATTATAAAAATAAAATTTTTATTAAACTGAAAGGAAAAAATTTAGAAAATGTTAATAGTAATAAAAATAATGTTTATAAATCAAATATACTTCAGATCAATATGGAGAATCTAATGAGATTAAAGCGAAGAGTTTAAGAACTTTTTATATTATCAAAAATACATTTAAAGTATATTGATGAAAATATAAATAATTACTTCTTCTAATGTTTTGTAATATTTAATCTATTATATCATTTATTTATTTATTTTTTAATATTGAATGCAACCCATGGAAATTTAATTAATTATAAGTGAATAAAAAAATGAATAAAATAAATTAATTTATAAATTTACTTTTAGAAAAAGAAATCACAAAAAAGTTAGTGTAAAGTTAGTTATTAAATCTTAAAATCTTTATTTAAAATATTTACTTAAAAATATAGTAGGAATTAGAGATTAGATATAAAGGATAATTGAAATGCGTACTCATTAGAATAAATTTATTTTTTATGTATTTAGGCAAATTTTTGTAAAATTATCAAAATATGGGTGTTAATATGTATTTATGGGTGCTAATATAGGAGAATCTACAGTATATATTTTTTTAGAATAGTACAAAGTAAATAAGAATATTTAAAAAAGAAAATCAATAATTTTTTTAAATAAATCAAAATTATTAATTTCTGATCATAATTAATTAATTAATAAATAAATAAATAATCAAAGAAATATAAATGGAAAATCAATAAAAAAAAAGGATGTAATAAAATAAATCTTTAAGTATTCTATAAGATGTAACCATCATTATTCATTTTGTTTATTATTATAAAATCATTTTTTTAAACAAACAGTTAATGAAATCTGACTTGAATGCTCTAACTCATATTGACCTACAATTAAAGTAAGAAATATATATATATACATAAATATTTATTCATTCATATTTAATGATAAATTTATCAAAATAAGCAATATTTTTTTTAATAAAAATAAATATTTTTAAATTTTTTATCTTTTCTATTACAAAATTAAGATTAAATAAAATTTCATTCATTAATTTATTCATAAATTAAATTCTTTTATTATTATTTATAAAATAAATAGAAATTGTACTCTTAGTAACGAATAAGTTGCTTAACTTAACAATTGTTTAGTATAATGCTAAAAATTAGAATCTTTAGTATTAAATCTTAAGTAATCATTTAACTTTATTATCTTAAATTACATAATTAATTTTTTCTATCAATCTAATATTTAGTAAGGAAAATATTTCAGATGATTAGATAAATTAATTATTTGCTAAATATCACTACATAAAGGATTTTGTTGAAACTGGTAATAATGTGAGGTAAATAAATTTATTTTTATTTTAATAAATCTTAATATATTCAACAAATTGTTTAATAAATTATAGCATTATTTTCTTACTCTAGTTATTTCTACCATTTATAAAAATTTTAAAATTTGAATCTTAAATTATGTTAAATAAAATATTAATTTATATGTTAATTTAATAATTTAAATTAATTAAAATAGTTATAATTTTATTTTATTTAAATAGCAATGACTAAAAATACACCCAAATTTTGTTTTTCCTAAATTATTTTTAGATTATTCATGATTGTCAAGAACTTAGGTAAAATAAAACTAACTAACTATTGGTATTTAATTGATTTATTTTTAATTTGAAAGATTAAATGATATTGTAGCTTAAGGAGATATCCTATTAGAAGAAACTATGAGTAATCTTATTAATCTCAACAGTTTATAGCTAAATTTAGAGTATACTTTTTTTAATTGATTTATTTATTTTTAATATAATTAAATTCATCTTTCCAAACTCATTAAAAATTTTCAATATCTAAACTAAATTATTTTCAATAATAAATAAAAGTGGAAATTAATTAGGAGATTAAGGTTCGGTTTGGATTTGTAAAGTATTACATAGATGCAAAACACTTAATAACTTAAATCTGCAGCTTTGGTAATTTTATTTCAATTATATTTAGCACATTCAGTTATATTTATTGAATTATTTAAGAAGCATTTTAATTATTTATTAAAAATCTTTTTTTGCAAAGGAAAAATAAATTAGGTGACAGAGGGATATCGAGTATTGCAGAAGGTATTAGTAGTTGTACTAAACTCACGACTTTAACTTTAAATGCAGTGTAAATTTTGTTGATTAATGTTTATATATTAAAAAATTATTTTTCAATATATAGCTGTTCCAGCGTTTGAAATATCACAGATCATGATATCATATATGATTTGTGATATTTCAAATAATTTTTACATTACTAATGAACATTTTTTTTTTCAAAATCTTAATTATTTTGTTTATATTTGATTTCTTATATTTTACAAAAATTAATCAAAATACAGAAACCTTTTTTCAAATTTTGAGAGTAAAAAAATTTTGTTTATTTGATAATTATTCATAATGATTTTTTATATATAATTTTGTAAAAATTGGCTGCTGTCACAGTATATATATTAAGTTTTAATAAAATCTTTTAAATTTTAATTAAACATGAATTGCAAATATAAAAGCGGAAATTAAATTGGGCATGATGGAGCTTCTACTATTGGTGCAGCACTTGGTAACTTCAAGTTCCTAACTAATCTCAAATTTTACATTTGGTAAAATTATATTTTATTTATTTATTTATTGCTAACTAAAAAAAGCTTGAATTATTTTAAAGATTTTGATTTAAATTTCAAAACAAATTTAAATAGTAAATAAATTGATTTATTTTATTTGAAAAGGTGCAATGAAATCGGTGATAAAGGAGCATAAAATATTGGATTAGGTTTGAGTAACTGCACTCAACTTACAAATTTAGAATTTGACATAAGGTAATTTATTTAATTTATAACTTTTAAAAAATTATGTCAAATCATTTTATTAAACTAAATTAAAAAAAAATTTGAATTTATAAAATGTCTTAAATTTTAATTAAACGTGATTTGCAAATATAAAAGATACAATTAAATTGGGCATGATGGAGCTTCTACTATTGGTGCAGCACTTGGTAACTTCAAGTTCCTAACTAATCTCAAATTTGACATTTCGTAAAATTATATTTTATTTATTTATTTATTGCTAACTAAAAAAAGCTTGAATTATTTTAAAGATTTTGATTTAAATTTAAAAACAAATTTAAATAGTAAATAAATTGATTTATTTTATTTGAAAAGGTGGAATGAAATCGGTGATACATACATACATACATACTCGCACATGGTGACATGCACTCGGGATAGGGGCCCTATATATAATTACTTATACATTATTATTATACGTATACCAATTTATTTATATATAATTGTGGGTAATATATTAGAAGGGAAGGGTCACCTACACCCTAATGGCATTTCTACTAATCTTCCATGATTTGGCTACTCATTATGCTCGCTTCCCATTTGTATTCCAGATCTTCTGTTCAGAATGGGGCCTCCTCTTTACCTCCTATCAGATTTGGCCCTTCCCTCCTACCAAGGAGACCGCTGGTAACATTCACATTTTTACATGGAATTTTTCGAAATAAAGGGGGCGGTATAGGATTCGAACCCCCGATATCACTGCTAAGACCCTCCGACTCGCCCACTCGAGCCGCTTAGCCCTTCGAAATCGGTGATAAAGGAGCATAAAATATTGGATTAGGTTTGAGTAACTGCACTCAACTTACAAATTTAGAATTTGACATAAAGTAATTTATTTAATTTATAACTTTTAAAAAATTATGTCAAATCATTTTATTAAACTAAATTAAAAAAAAATTTGAATTTATAAAATGTCTTAAATTTTAATTAAACGTGATTTGCAAATATAAAAGATACAATTAAATTGGGCATGATGGAGCTTCTACTATTGGTGCAGCACTTGGTAACTTCAAGTTCCTAACTAATCTCAAATTTAACATTTCGTAAAATTATATTTTATTTATTTATTTATTGCTAACTAAAAAAAGCTTGAATTATTTTAAAGATTTTGATTTAAATTTCAAAACAAATTTAAATAGTAAATAAATTGATTTATTTTATTTGAAAAGGTGCAATGAAATCGGTGATAAAGGAGCATAAAATATTGAATTAGGTTTGAGTAACTGCACTCAACTTACAAATTTAGAATTTAACATAAGGTAATTTATTTAATTTATAACATTTAAAAAATTATGTCAAACCATTTTATTAAACTAAATTAAAAAAAACTTTGAATTTATAAAATGTCTTAAATTTTAATTAAACGTGATTTGCAAATATAAAAGCGGAGATAAAATTGGGAATGATGGAGCTTCTACTATTGGTGCAGCACTTGGTAACTTCAAGTTCCTAACTAATCTCAAATTTAACATTAGGTAAAATTATATTTTATTTATTTATTGATAACTAAAAAAAGCTTGAATTATTTTAAAGATTTTGATTTAAATTTCAAAACAAATTTAAATAGTAAATAAATTGATTTATTTTATTTGAAAAGGTGCAATGAAATCGGTGATAAAGGAGCATAAAATATTGGATTAGGTTTGAGTAACTGCACTCAACTTACAAATTTAGAATTTGACATAAGGTAATTTATTTAATTTATAACTTTTAAAAAATTATGTCAAACCATTTTATTAAACTAAATTATAAAAAAATTTGAATTTATAAAATGTCTTAAATTTTAATTAAACGTGATTTGCAAATATAAAAGATTCAATTAAATTGGGCATGATGGAGCTTCTACTATTGGTGCAGCACTTGGTAACTTCAAGTTCCTAACTAATCTCAAATTTGACATTTCGTAAAATTATATTTTATTTATTTATTTATTGCTAACTAAAAAAAGCTTGAATTATTTTTTATATTTTGATTTAAATTTCAAAACAAATTTAAATAGTAAATAAATTTATTTATTTTATTTGAAAAGGGGCAATGAAATCGGTGATAAAGGAGCATAAAATATTGGATTAGGTTTGAGTAACTGCACTCAACTTACAAATTTAGAATTTGACATAAGGTAATTTATTTAATTTATAACTTTTAAAAAATTATGTCAAACCATTTTATTAAACTAAATTAAAAAAAAATTTGAATTTATAAAATGTCTTAAATTTTAATTAAACGTGATTTGCAAATATAAAAGCTACAATTAAATTGGGCATGATGGAGCTTCTACTATTGGTGCAGCACTTGGTAACTTCAAGTTCCTAACTAATCTCAAATTTGACATTTCGTAAAATTATATTTTATTTATTTATTGCTAACTAAAAAAAGCTTGAATTATTTTAAAGATTTTGATTTAAATTTCAAAACAAATTTAAATAGTAAATAAATTTATTTATTTTATTTGAAAAGGGGCAATGAAATCGGTGATAAAGGAGCATAAAATATTGGATTAGGTTTGAGTAATTGCACTCAACTAACAAATTTAATTTTTAGCTCAGAGTAAATTTGATTTATTTCTTTTGAAAAAAATGATGTTAAAGCTTTTAAGATGTTATTTAAAATATCTTTATTTTATAAGTAATAATGAGAAGTTTCTAAAATCAAGAGAAATTATCAACTGTAAA